TCATCAAGGATTGTCAAGGTCGACTCGAAATACGCGCAACAAATAATGGACCAACCGTCAAATCCTGGCGTAAGGACTTAAACTGATCACAAATATACGTGTAATTTTGATCCTCAACCCACTTCGCTTTTAGAAATTCAAGTGTTTGTTTTAATATGCGCAGAGGTCTGACTGTCGAGGGATCAGGAGCCTTAAATTTAATGATATGATTGATTACGTTGTCAAATACACTCGTTTGAAATAAAGCGAACGACGCAAATGACTTATATACGCACAGCTGTCAAACGCAAATATGACTTTTCCAGTTGGGTGCAAGTGCCCACAACCGTTTTCTCCACATCTATATCATCTTGTTGCTTAAAACGATTTGGGATCGAACAAGTTAACCTCAACATTATATGACACTGATAATCCGAAAGCATACATACTTTAACAGGAGGCTCCCAACGTGGTCTATTAACCCTCTCGTGTTCCTGGAAGCGTTTTGCACGCTTTTCCCTCTTTTGAGTTTCACTGGACTCGTCACTATCGGCCGAATGACGATCAGGTGGTGAATGACCAGTGAACACGCTAAGTTGATACATATATATATATATATATATGCATAGGTATATACATAATAGATTCGTTGTATGAGATCACGCATGCAGCACCTTCACTTAACGTCAACATTAAACTCCACGCATAAAATGACTTACTTCTTTCGCTTCTCATTTTCCCTGATTATTATGTATCAAAGAATATTAAAAAAAAACAATGAATGAAAAACGAATTCGCTTTGAATTTTCACATTCGGTATTAATTAAACCTTGGAGACTTGCAACTCGATGGTAATTCGACTTTTGTCCAATCTGTCTCGTACAGCAAACCCTCTGACATTTTATTCGAAATTATTATTTTCAATTCTCTTTCTATGGCGTCAATATTGTGTGGTGCTTCATTGAAACTCCGCTGTACATATTCCCTGTCATCAAAGTGATCATAGAACAAGTTGAGTGATGGTGTTGACATATGAATCGTCTAATTATTTGGTTCATTGTTTTTTTCTTTGATTCTCATTTTTTTTTTTTTTTTTCCAAGTATATATCAAAAGGCGGGTCAAAGGAAGGCACTTACTTTAGACTTATGGGCCATTCTTTAGCGTTTGCGGGTTTTTGTTTCCTGATTATGAAATAGACAGATTTAATTATAAGCAAGTGCTCTTTTGACTCGAAGGTTCGACTGTTGGTTTGGAGAAATACTAACTCAGATTGCTTATTAGATGATAATTGATTCTTTGCCGAATAATCGGATTCCGGACTTTCCAGTGGATTATTTTTAGGCAAAGTCTTGTTAATGTTTGACAGCGTTTTGATAGGGCGGTATAATGGTTCTAATGTTAAAAGTCGAATGATTGTTACTCGGGGAGAAAAAGCTATTTTTAAAATCACCTAATCATCGAATGTTACTTGGTTTTTGGTCGGCGGTACCGGTTTCGCTGTTGTTGCTCGAGTTAACTTTTAAATTCGAAAGCCCGGAAGTCGTTTGTTGAACTTCGACCGTACCCTTGAACTTTTCATCGCCTACGATGGTGTTTTTCATAGCATTGTTTGACGTTGCTACGGGATCAGGTGACGGCACAACGGGGCTACAATTATCGTCATCAATAAAATTGAACGAGATTGTTTAAATGCGACAACCATTTCGTACGTACTATGTTGACTGGGTAACATTCTGCGTGAAAGCGGAAGCTTCCGGTGCGTTTACTGGCGGGTATTGAGAATAGGTCCCTGTTATTGTATTGGCGTTTGGATAAATTCCGATTTGCTGATAATATGCATTGGGGTCAAACGATGTATAGACAGGATTTTGATACGGCACCGAGGTTGGTAGTGTTGAGGAGTACCACGAGGAGTTTGGCGTGACTCCGGGAGGATTTGGCTGAAAGCTAGATGCTTGTGGTGGTGTCACTCCCGGAGGAAAGGTAGGTATCGTTGCGGACACTTGAGTGTTAGCGGCTGAATAGGAGTATTGGGCTTGATATTGGGAATATGGTTGAGAGGTGTTTGGAGCAGTGTATTGAAAACTAGTAAAATCTGTAGGTTGCGTTCCAGGAGGTACCAGGTACTGTTGCTGATTTTGCTCGTAAGAATAAGCCCTGCGTGAAAAGGATGGTGAGCCTACTTTACCTAATGATGGACGATTCACGAAAGAAAGTTGCTTTCCTGCTTACCAAGGTTGAAAGTGTGAATTCTCGCTCATTTTCTTCGAAAGGTTTTACTAACGCACAAGTTTTACGCAGAGTTAATATAACGGCTCTTTATGACACCATCTTTTTAATTTATCACGTGCCACGTTTTTTTTTTAATTTTCGGTAATATGATCGAAGTATGCTTACCTTTTGATATTATAATTATTGAAAAAAATTTGCTTAGTTGGCGGAGACTTTCTTTATAGACTGAGTTAAGACAGTTATTATTTGATTTTTTTTATTTATCAAAAGTTAAGTTTTTAATCAAAAAGACAATTTTTTAAAATATTTTTAAAAAATTATTTATTAAGAAACAAATAATTTATCAAATTAATAGTATAAATAAATTAGCAATAATTAATTATTACATGCAAACAAAAATTGAACAATATAAAATTATTATTATTATTTTTTTTTTTTAAACCTTCTATCAGGCTAGGTATGTGTGTTTTATTAAACTTATATATACTTTACATTCAAAATATATCACTAAAGCTAAGTCTCTACCTAACACACTTATCT